GTTGTTTTTATTTCCTTAGGTTACACATGTACAGTTTTTCTAAACTTGTAAATTTCTTTAACTGATATTATCTCAGCAGAGGTATGTGTAAATAAATATTATATTGGATAACATAATTCTTTATATAGGATAATCATTTATTTCTACTCAAACTCAAATGAATCATTATCTTGATGAGGACCATATTTGGACAATTTAAGTTATTTATGATACATAGTCCCGATTTTGCTCTTTATTCCTAAAAATTATCTTACTATTTTTATCCCAGATTAGTTGAGGTGAGATAGTGTTCACGACGACGATGCTGTCGTGGAGCGTGATTGACTTTGGTAAGGGCATGGGTCTGCGATTTGAGGAAGAAGACGACTGAGGACAGAGGTTGGCCGAGCGCTGATAGTGCCGACGAACAATGAGGAACTTGGCAATGATGTTTGGGCAGCGGTGGACCAGAGAAGGTTAAGGACGTAGCGGAGGTGACCCACGTCGGCGACGAGGACGCCGGAGAGATCAAGCCCAGAAAGGTTCTTGTCGGATTCGGTGTTAATTTTGAGCAACAGTACCATGCCTCTTTTTCCTATGGTGCAAACTCGGAATTAAGGAATTTATAGCAATCTTCCTGATATTAAACCATCGTAGCTTGCCGGTTTTAATGGACACTCCCCTCTCTGCTGCAGTAACGATGAAAAAGAAGAAGGGCCAATTTCACAAAATATATTTTTTTATATATATATATTATAAAATGTGTTACTAAGGGCATTTTAGTCCAAGTTTTATAAATTGGACCAATTTGCACAAATGTCATAGTTTAGGGGTGTTTTTTACACTAGAGAGGTGTAATATGCACTACATGCATACTATAGGGGTGTTTTTTGCACTTGACCCAACATAAATTACCTATTTTCATTATTGGTTCTATTGGGTGCTAAATTCTGAGATGGCAATACTTGATTTGTGAAGCTATGCTTAATTTAAAATTAGATACTAGGAAACTTTCATAAGGTTTCACCCATTTATTTGTCATTGGATAATTGGGGTTAACTCGATTTTGTTTAGGAATTTTATAATTTCTTTTCGGTAGATTCGGACCATTTGCTGATTTGATTTGTAGTTAGGTTAGCTTAGGTCAAGATGTGAAACTATAAACCTTTAATTTTGGAATTGTTGATGAGTTTCTGAAAATTTATTTCTAAAAAAAGAAATTGCAATTGTGGTTCCGGTTTGTTGCACTCTGTTGTTACATTATAAATTTATAATCCACTTATTGGATCAGTTAATAAATTTTGGTTGTTTGATTCTTGTTAGCCTACCACCATTATCATTGCCACCACTACCGCCATCACCATCACCTTCCACCACCACCACCACCACCTCCACTGTCTTTCACCACCGTCATTGCTGCCACCACCACTACTGCCACCTTCCACCACTACTCCCACCTTCCACCACCACCACCACTGTCATGGGCACCACTATCGTCTTCCACCTCCACTGCCTTCCACCACCGTCATTGCCACCACCACCACCACCGCCGCCTTCCACCACCGTCTTCTACCACCGTCATTGGCACCACCACCATCACCATTATCACCACCATTGCCGCCACATTCCACTTACGCCTTGCCACCGGCTTCCTCCACCATTACCACCGCTTCCAACACCACCACCTACACCACTGCCGCCTTCCACTTCCACCACCATTCACTGCCACCACCATTTCTTTTTAGAAATTAAAAAAGAATGTTATTTTGTTAATTTAATTTATTTGTCATTAAGAGGTGCATTTTGGATAGTCGAATTTAAAATTTATTCCATTCTAGGTTTTAAATTGGTCCAACCAAACACTCAAATGATTATTATCATTCAATTTTTATAACATTTCATATTTGCAATTAAACAATAAAATGAGAATAATCATTCCATTCTATTCCTATTCTCATTCCATTCCCATTTACATTTCACTCCATTCCTACATACCAAATGCAACATTAGGGTTTTCGACACTTTAGCATCATATTTAACTTCTGGACAAAAAAAAACATTTCACATTCTCATTGGAACCTTAGGCTTGATCTTGAGATACATCAATTTATCCAATTGGTATAATAAGGAAATAACAACACTCAAAAGACTCGAGCATAACATTCTTTTAGATTAAATAAGCACGCTAAAGTGATGGCTAAAATTGATTTGTCATGCTACCACAAAACAATTCTTAAATATAGGCATAAATACAACTTATGGACCTCATTGTACAACTTGACTTCAAAACCTGCTTTGGGTTTTAATGCCATAGTGCAGATGATTGGCTTCATTTGGAACTCTAACTGTGAAGCAAGATAGAGACATGCACAAAAATATGGTGAAAATAATCAATATCGAAGCTGTATTGGGTCACTTTTTAAATGTGCCTCATAAGTCCAAAGCTAGGCACTAATAAGAAGCAGCCGGAAACAACTTTGCCTCAAATATTCATGTTCATAGTAACTCTATCTTCCCCGCGCCCCTCTCGGTCTCTCTGTGTGCCAAATTCATCCAATTAACAACATTGCAAAGATAGGAACACACGCCCCACCCTCTTTGCAATAATATCAATCATTTCTTTATTTCATAACATTCCCCAGTGAACTATGGTAAACAGAACTACATGATTTTCATAATGATCATGTATGTATGTAGCTGCAGACTACTATCATAGTGACTTTAAACAAGCTTCAATTATTAGTATTATTTAGAAAAACAAACAGAGAATCTCCCACAGGAGATGGAATAACAGACCACTCAAAGATAGATGACTTAGATAGAATAGCATGCTGGCCGCTCCTGGAAACAACTCAAGAAGAAGCAGCACACTTTTAAAGCAAACTTTAGCATCATCCAAGGTTAAATCCCACAGAACGATTAATCTTACCGCTTCTCAAAATATGAAAATATAGAGTTCCATTATTACGTATATTCCAACTCTGAACAAAAGTAGATAAAATACTCAAAGCTATTGCCAAATTAAATACTTGGAGCACGAAAAGGACATGAAGTTCTCAACAACTGGTGTACAGAACACGAATTGGCTAATGTTGAATCCTTTAATTCCAATGCAATACCTTCTTTCCACAACTTCTGTTCCTGAGACAATGTCATTTTCATAGTCATATTCCAAGTATATTAAGATGTTAAGGTTGAGGAAATAAACTAAAAAACATATACTTGGAGAAAGTTAAATATATATCCTATTAGGTTTAATGGGCAATCAAGACGACACTCCAACATCATTTTTCATTAAGCATGTGTTTAGTTATGCAGAATTGAAATTACATTCGAACTGCAATTTCATTGAACTGGAGTTCAACAATGTAATCCCAAATTCATCGTTTAAATCAACTTTGGAATTGATTTGTTATTGAATTCCAATTCTAATTTTAATATATTTTGATAAACTTACCATTCATTTGCTATTGAAACTGAAAACAATCAATATCATATAAATGATGTGCAAACATATACACGTATGCATATAAATAAATTAACACATATATACACACACATACTAACCTGGTCATGTGACTATTTCTATGTCGTTCTGTTCTCTCACTATAGGTAATATCCTTCCCAATTACCATCTTTTAAAGCTCCAATTCAAACTTTGAGAATGTGTTCTATTTTCCAGTAATCCACACCTTGTTTGTGACGATCCAATGCCATAATAAGTTTCTCGGGCATATCATATAGGCAAAGGAATTTAAGGTTGGTTAGATGTTCAATGCCCGAGAGCACTTCCAATTCACAGCTAGTAATATATAGTGATTGAAGAAGTGGCATTGAGCCTTCCTCCACATTGACAATTCTTGTAAGCTTATGAGCCACAATATCTTTATCTTCTGAAACCTTCTAGTCTTGAAACATAATTCCCTCCCTTCATAAGCCTAATGAAGTTCAAGCTCTACCAAGTTGGGCAAATATTGAAGTGATTCTAAAGGATCATTCATTAATTTGCTCCAACCTAAACATAGTCTCGTTAGGCTATGAAGAGAAGTTATCTAATGTGGTAACTTCTTTAAATGTCCCTCTAAATTGAATCGTTGAAGAAATCGAGGAGGCGAAGACAAAGATTGAATATCAATGATCTCATCCTCTTCTACTGAACCTATATTCAACGAGCGAAAGTTGCTCAGCTTTTCAATAGAGGAGCACAAAGCCATCCCATGTTGTCTTCTACTAAACCTATATCCCATGTTGTCTTCTCAACTTTGTAATACATAATTTCCTCAGATGGGTCAGCCTCCATAGCTCTCCCACTACAATTTTACTATTATCATGGTTCACTTTGATAGAACAAACTTTTTGTAAGGAAGGCAAACCTTCTATTCCCACAATCATTTTAAAACCAAGTATCCCGTGGAAAGGTTGATAAGCTTCATAAGTGTAGCGATACACCAAGAGATGACGAAGTCGTCGGAGATTTAGGATCTAAACAGGCAACTCCGTTACATAGGTGTCCTTAGGATCCAACGTTTCAAGGTTCTCAAGTTCTCCAATGGAGTTGGTAAGAGTTCTGATCTTTGTTCTTGTTAAATACAAAAGATAGAACTCTGTATTATATTTAACATGGTATCAGAGCCTTCGATCTCTGGTAAACAATCTACCAGTTTATCATTGTCATCGCCAGAGATGGCACCATTAGCCCCATCCTCGGCGGCGGCGGTCAACCAACACGCTTCCGCACTCTATTATCTTCATAAAGATCTTCATATGCCCCGTCCAGGGAAGCCTCGTTATCTAAGTCTTCCTTCGGGAAACCCAACGAGATGCCTTGTTTAGAGAAGCCTTGCCTAGGGAAGCCTCTTTGTTTAACGATGTCTCGTTCATAGATGCTCAACGTATCGGATCAGCTTCGTCACTGCACCACCATGCGCCTCAAGTGGTAATCCCACTTTTCCATGCGCCTTCACGCGTACTAGTGGTAATCCCACACCTCAACGTGTCGGATCAGCTCCAACACCATGCCATTACGCACCATCAGTAGTCATCATGCGCTCACATATGCCTTTAACGTGGTGAATCTTCACAAATTTGTCACCCATCAGTTTATAGTAATTACCATAGGGGTTGGCAACGTCAAACTATTCACGCTCCTCATCTACCTCCAAGATCTTCAAAGATCCACCTTACGTCACCTGACATGTGAGCATTGGTGCAACGTCAGACATATTCTGCAACGGTGCTAGTAGTTGTGCCATGTCACCTATCATGTCAATTCTCTTCAAGCTTAAATACCGTAGATGAAATAATTTGGCTACTTCATTTGGAACTGTCTCTAAAGAAGCACCTCTCAGGTCCAAAACCTTTAAAAATATCAAACCACCATTGAATAATATAGGCATTGATGACTTAGATAGAGGCTCTGCCACTTTGAACATTAGCAACAATCGAAGTTAAGAAAAATGATTTGTTTGCTACAAGTTTCCCAAGGTATAGTGGATTGATAGGCGGCGAACTTTTTCCGGCCACCTTGTGTTTTCTTCACTAACGATCGCTACAATGCTTTGTTCTATTGACTTTGAAATAATAATCTCACGGAAAAGGTCATGGATGCGAGACCTTCTAAGCCTTCCATCGTAACATATCATTGCCACTTGGACCAAGCTTCTATTAACAAGCTCATTAAGGTAGCCTTCAGCAACTTCTTCTGAAGTCATCCCTTCTTTCGCTTCCACAAATCCTTCCGCAGTCCATAGCCGAATCAATTTCATTATCTTAATATGATAATCCTCTGGTAATATGCTGAAGTATAAGAAACAAATTTTAAGATAATAAGGCAAATCATTGTAACTGAAAGAGAGTATTTCGTACTCTCAAGTTTATCTCTTCCTTCCAATTCTGCACCAAGGCTGCGCATAACCATTTCCCATTCATCCATTCTATTCTTGTCTTTGGTAGCCAAAACACCACCAATTGCCACAATTGCAAGGGGCAAGCCCACACATTTTTCCAAGATACTTTGTGAAAGTTCCTCTAAATGTGGAGGGCAGTATTTTTCTTGGAAGGTCTTCCAACAAAATAGAATCCAAGACTCTTTTGGCGACAATGCCTTCATAGCATAGATGTTACCATGGGATTCTATGCTAGAGGTTGAAGCTACACTACCAATGCGTGTTATGAGCAGTATTCGACTGCCACAATTGTTATCAGGCAATGCATATTTTAAGGCATCCCATGCATTTATACTCCACACATCATCGAGAACAATCACGTACCTTCTTTGTTGGAGGAAGTCCTTGAGTTGTGCCTTCAGGTTATTGTTGTCTATGGCTTCCAATCTTTGAGGATCCGGTTTCCTGACTTCATTAAAGAGATGTCAAATTAAATCTCTAAGATCAAAGGATTGAGAAACAGTGATCCAAGCATGGATTTGAAACTAATTCGTCCCCTCATTCCCACCACCGAAACAACTTTGAGTATTAGGGTGTCCTTCATAAGCCACCCAATCAGCTGCTTCTTGGGCCCATCAATGGCCACAAGCTCAGCTTCTTCGAGTAGAAGTGTATGTGATACCCCCGGATTTTCGGATGCGGGTTGGCCAGGCCCACGCCCGATAACCCAAGGATATCAAATCAATTAGCAATTCAACAAACATAGAATACAATGTAGGAAACAAGAATAAATAAAATTTTGCTGAAAATAACTAAAATGAAAATCCTTTAATGGAAAAAAACCTCCGAATAAACTTTATATGCAAGAACTAGTTTGAATATACCAACTTCTCCTTTACTTCTAATACAACTCGGGAATCCATCTCGTGGACCCCTACTAAAAAATATTCCAATACTGAACATGAACAACTACAAAGAAAACCAACGATCATAATGAGAAGAAAATACTCCTACGTCGTCGGTGGAGTGAATAACTGTATCTGCTCAGCACAATCAAGCTCTAAGCCTGGAACTGACGAACACCTGTAAAAATAAGAGTGGGTCAGGCCTACATGCAAGTTCTATCCTAACTGCAATCCAGACAGTGACCCGATACGCAGATACACCCTAGATATCTCAGCAATAGCTATCTAGTCCATACATATATAAATATCCACACTAAGGGATAGTCACTGGACTATGTAGGGGGTCTCAATCTGAATAGAAGGCAACATGCAAAAACGCACCCAAAGGTGGGCATGAGTACCTAGACCTAACAGGGTACACCTCAACCTATTATAACCAGCTACGCATCCACTGCATATACGCACCCTAACCAACGAGTCTGAGACTCAAGCTCAACTCGTGGTACCATAAATATATATATAAAGTCCGTCCAAATCCAGGGTATGCAGTTCAACTATTTATCAAACTGACATACAATAAACCAACTAGTTAGTCACTCAACTTATTCAGTTGATATAACTTAACTACCATCCGTTAATCCATGAAGTCATCCAACTTGGTTACAACTGATCTGACTTAGTCACAATTTGGATTCGATATCTTTCAATCCATTCCATTAATCCATTAGGTTAGGTTTATGCGTTTTGAGCGAAACCGTCCCTAGTATGTCACCGTCCCATACCGGTACATACAATCCTCCATATCCATGTAAATTACAACATATATAACAGTTCAATAATTTACAGACCCAAAAACCACCATCCAAATAATTGCAGAAAAATATTTAAAGCCTCGGCAATTTAAATCCAAGCATTTAACCATATAGTTGCAGGAGACGATTTAATAAATTAACAACTAACATCTAGAGCATACATAGACCAAATTTAATATGTCAGGGACTCCATCATGCATGTGAATAGGTTAAATAATCCTATTATTATCCAATAAATTGCTAAAACAATTTCAGAAGATTGTTTAATATTTCAGCAATTTAAATCCAAGCATTAACCATAAAGTTGCAGGAAACGATTTAATAATTCAGCAACTAGCCTCCTAAGCATGCATAAATCAAAATTAATAATTAAATGACCTTATCATGCACTTGAATGCATTCTAAAACAAGTTTTATAAACACATTATATTCCATCAAATTGCTGAAATTTAATTCAACAATAAATTTATCTTTCATTTGTTAACAACCTAGGGAGTGTCTTAAATTTTACACTGTTTGTCCTGACAATTTAGAATTAAACCCTAATCAATTTAAGGTCCTAATAACACCCAAATTCAGCCTTCTAAACTCTCTGTGGAACCCCAGACCCAACAGATTTAAATCCCATGCTCCAACAGTAAGCACAGTACGTAGAAAATTAAAAAAAAAAACTTAAAACAAATCCTAAATTAAAAAGGGAGCCTGCTCCAAATTTTGGAGCAGGCTCTTTCAGCCTAGAGCCGGCTCTAGGACTCCTTAGAGCCGGCTCTACTTGTTGTGGGAGCCGGCTCCCACTTCTATGGAGCCGGCTCTCACCTCCTTTGAGAGCCTTCAGTCCCCGGTGCTTCGTTTCAGTCTGTTTGCTCTGTCTCTGGACCATTCCTACCACTCTGTTGATTTCTAAAACTCATCTTAAGAGTCTTATAGCACCCTAGTAACACTCTCCTGATTCGTTTACAGAAGTTGAAATCAAATTAAAACTAAATTTGTTACCGAAACGAAACATGCTTTAAGAATAAAACTGAAACTATTTTGCAATATCAATTCCATTCCAATCCCCTCTATTCCTCTTCACTACTGAACTTAGGAGTCTTATCTAATCCCAGTAGCATCCCAATCATTCGTTTACAGTTGTTGAAAGAAAATACAGTAACTAAAATTCCAATAGAATTTACATGCTTTAAGAAAACAAAACTAAACAGACTTGCACGAATTGTAACAGATTTAATTTCAACAACGAACAGCCATCAATATAGCATATATTAACCATGTAAATTCCAGTTCCTGATTAATTAAACCCTAGATACTATCTAGGTGCACAGAACACAAGCCAAAGGGAAGGAGGAAGAAAAGAACTTGCCTTTCGGTTTCGGTTTGAAACCTTTCAACGTCGTCTTCTTCCTAGACTTTCCGGCGATCGTGATCGCTGTCAAGGATTCCTCTGCTCCGGTTCTAACCCTCAAATAGCCCTCAAGCTTCCTCCTTAGTCTGGCTTACAATCTTTGGCTCAAACCCTACCTTCCTCTCCTTCAGTTTTTCCCTTAAACTCTCTATTTCACTCTCTGTATTTTCACTATTCGTGAATAAGGTTTGTGCTTACAACCCTAAGCAGACCCTTATTATTTTATTTATAGGCTTAGGAAAAGATATTAACCATAATTCTACTTTAATCGAAAAGACGGAAATCAACAATTCCTTACATCTCTAAGGCGGCTTAAATAAACAAGGCGGCTTTATTCAAACGTGACAGTAAAGAGACAAAACCCTAATAATTTAACCTATTTAATTAAATAAAATAAAAATAATAATTAACCAATTAATTAAAACCACAATTAAATTACATAAAATAATTAACCAACAAAACAATTCAAAAACAACATAAATGACAATTAAATTAATTAAAGACTAAACAATTAAATCAAATAAAGAACGAACAAATAATTTAATCAATTAAACTTAAACACTTAAAACATTTAAAATAAATAGTAAAATCTCAATTATATCCTTTTTAATTTTAGGTGTATTACAGTGCATCACCTCGATGATCATACCATGTGATGTTGACTGTGTTGGAGCTTGAGCTGTGCTCTGAGATGTTGAATTTGTAACGGTATCTCTGATGTCCCTCAGCATCTTCTCTTATTCCTCCCAAGAGTTTTGACTCTTGTTAAAGGAAGATGGTTATGTGATGAGTACTGAAAAGTGCGCATTTAAACCCGTTAAGCTTAAGCATTCTAGTACCTTTATCTATCTTACTTTGCCATTTTAGACTTATTACGTGTTATTTATATTTTCAGGCACTAATCCCAAAATTTAGCTAACTCAGCCAAATAAGAGCTTAATTGAAGCAATCCTGAGATAAACCAAAGGAGGGAGCAAAGTGGAGAAAGAAATGAGCAAAAAGGAATCAAGTTGTGCAGCTGAAAAGTTCGATCGATCCAACTTAGAGTTCGATCGATCGAACATCTATGATCGATCACAGTACTTCTCAATAGATCCAACCTTGGCCTTTGCTGAAATTCCAAGTTCAATCGATCGAACATCACCTTCGATCGATCAAACCTTATTTTGTCCTATTCAAATGATTGATCTTATCCACAGCTGTACGCCTACCAACCACTTTTGTCTTTTTCCCCATAAATATCTTGAAAATATCCCAGCCTTGTCATTATCCGGAGGAGTCAGACCACTTCGATCGATCCAATATGCAGTTCGATCGATCGAACCCATTTTCGATCGATCCAAGTTAAGGTTCGATCGATCGAACTTCCTCCAGCGAGAAAAAGTTAAAGTCCAGCTCATTTATTCCGTCCTTCATCCAATCATTGGAGAATATGCCTTGCACGACCACAGCTCATCATAGGGTGTATTTGACCTACCTATATAAGGAATATGATACACTTTTTGAGGAAGTCTCTTGTCACACATTGAAAATCATCTTGGAGGCTATTCTTGGAGAGGAAGGAGGGAGGAAGCTAGAGCAACCTTTGGAGGAGACCTTCATCATCAAGGAGCAGATTTTCACCATGGATTTAGCCCTTGAGGGTTGGAGCTTCATCATCATGAGTGGCTAGACATCCTTTTGGGCCTAGAGTTAGCCCCAAACATGCTTTTTTTACCTAATCTTGTGTAATTTTGAGGGATTTGTGTTGTAATGCATATTTTGACTCTTGAACTTATGAAGATCTTGATTATTCATTGAGTTCTATGGATTAATGCTTCTAATTGATCATTTTCTCTATCTATATGTCTATGTATGCTAGAGTAGATGCTCACCTCTAGATTTAATGTTATTGATGCATGTCTATGTGTATTAATGCCTTTAATCTTGAGATTGTCAAAATATGAAGTTCTTAATGTAATGTTCTTGTTATGTCTCTAGATGGTTCATACTTATTCCTTGATGGATTATGCTTCTCTTTTAAGTAGTGTAGTGTTAGTTAGAGAAACAATTCATGCTTGTTCTTTGATGTTCCATACTTTTGAATGCAAGAAGCATATGCTCTAATATTGGGGTGTAATGGAATTTTGAGCTTAATGAAGGATTAATGACTAGTTATGATATGTTGTATCTTTCACATGTGTTTAGACAATTTATTCCTCTCCCAATAGATATTTTGTACCTCTCACATGATGTTTAGATAATGCATGTTTAACTAAATCATCCTTATGGATTGCTTGGACTATGAGCTTAATGAAAGGTTCAATGACTTGAATTGTTATTTTGTTATCTTCACATGATGTTTAG